TTTCAATAATATAATACAATTATTAGTTTATATAGATAGATTTTTTTTTAAATTTAAAGCATGTTAGTTGATAACTATACCTTTACCTAATATGTGGCATTTTTAGAAAAATTGATTAAATCTAATGAATTCAGTAATAATAATATTACATAAATTATTATGGGAGCTGATCAACCAATCTGTTTGACTAAACTCATTTTTCGAGTATAATGATTTATCATTTAACTCAGATTTGATACATCTATTAAAATAACTTAAAGGTATTCAATTAGAAGGTACTTGAAATATATTATACCACATAAGTGAGTTCTCTGTTCTAGAAATTAATATTATATCGAACATAACCTGATCTAGATTGATCCATATGAATAAGGAATGCATCAATTGAATTGGGACATATATTATATTTGAGTAGTCATTAATTTTAGTTTAAATATCAATAACTTATTTTCTCAATTATGTTTTTTTTTTTTTTAAATTAAATTAAATTTAAATATTATTCATTATTAAACAAGATAATTTTAATTAAACTAATTTCAAAATATAGTTAATTAGTTCTAACCCAAATGCATACAAAACGAATTAACATAAAGAAAATGACTCGTTTAAATATTGGCGAAGCAACACGTGGTGTCCGTTTTCTTCATGCCACACGCCGTGGTCGCACCGGTCAGTGGTTAATAATGCATGTGTGGCTGTTGGCATTTTGGGGAAGTGCATCGTTTTGACCACAGCTAAGTATCAGCCAGTTGCGACTTTKCCCACCTGAGGGTGAAATGTGTTTATCAAACGGGGGGGATAGTGGTATTGCAACCGGATGAACAGTTCCTATGTATAAATACTTGTTTTAAAGGGTTGATCTTGRCGGGGGTAAGAATGATGAACAATATAAATTTAACGGAAACACATTAAAGATGTTCAAATATTATATAGTATTCACTAAAAAATAAATCATATTAATATTAAATATAATAATAATAATAATAATATTCATCTCAAATATATGTTATTGGCAAGTGAGTTTTTACAGTCATTTTTTAAATTTTTGCTATACCTACTTTAATAAATTGTCTTATTTCTCTTGTACTTTTTTTTTCTTGTTTTTTCTCTTATTTCTTTGCTCTGTTCCATATTATGTATATAATTAATTTATGTTTATAGTGATATGCTAATGGCCTAGTAGCCAAAGCAGAAATTGTATAAA